GACTCTCCTCTGCTGCTGGTATTCCCGACTCTGGTGGCTCGGCTGCTAGTGGCTGCTCAATCGTTTCCAAAATCCTGGTGTCATCGGTTATTTGTTGCCTCAAGATTGCTGCCATTCCCTTGATGATGAGGGGATTCCCTTGGCAAATCTGCAGCAGTTTCTCCATTTGATCCTCTCGAACGCTGCCAATTCCCTGATTTTGGAATAAGACACTCGATGAAATTTTCTCTAAAGCCATAACTTCGTAATTGTCAAAGTTGGCCAACTTCGCGTGACGAAGTGTTGATCTTGATGTCAACAAAATCTTCAGTTTCGATTTCCCCGGATAATCCTTTGGACCTAGAAGTCCTTGCAGAAATTTCACAAAATTGGCATTAAGGAAGGTGGAAGCTTCATCATCTCCTCCTGCAAATTTATCGACGTTATCAAGGAACAGCAATATGTCACTGTTTTGCTCTGCTTGCCTCAACTGTTGCATTAATTCCACTACTAGATTTGCTTCGAAGCTTATGTTCGTTTTGTCTGGTACTAAAGCGTTTAAAACGTGAAAATGAACGTCTTTCATCTCAGTGATTTCTCTAAAATCGGCCTTGAATTTCCTCCCCGGCCACTTTGAAACAGTTTCTATTGCCAATTTCGTCTTGCCTACTCCACTAATTCCATGCAAATTGACAACACGCGAACTTCCTGTTGTCAACATTGCCATAACTTTCTCTAGGTCACGTTCCCTACCGGTCAAACCTGGTTCTTCCTTTCCAGAACTGACCTCTTGTTGGCGGTTTTCCTTAAATTGTTGAATTTTTTCCTTTAGCGACTTTTTCTTGGACGCTTTCGGGCTTAAAAACCCCTCCAACAAAGTTAGATTGTCCTCTGATACAAGACCTTGCTTAGCAAATAATTGGAGGCATGAGTACAAATCTTGCTCTCCTTGATCTTCAAACTTGCCCCTAAAATTAGTTTTTATGGACGATACGGCATGCCTTAGTTCTTCGGGACTGAGTTCATCGGACACTCCTCGAAGAAGCTTTTGGAAACGCGGAGAAATTTCTTCAGACGTCGAGATTGTCTCGACGGACGCCATCTTCGTTTAGCGTCGGTTGACTCAATGTGTGACATGTGGCCAGCGTAATGTCTGCAAATTTATGCAGGAGACTGATGTGATTCGTGACTGACAAAAGCAATTTTAATCACGCCACCCACGAATTGACCTTTAGTAACCGATCTCAGTCGATATGATACAAAGCAGTTCAGTTGAGAAGCCGCTGTTATAAACTTTTTTGCACGAGTAAGTCAGACAATAGTTAAGTCAATCACGTATAACCGACCGCCTAATACAGGTTCGATTGTCTTCGTCTTAACACAACCTTAGAACAAAGAAAAGAAATATGATTCTCTCACAAGGAATCGAACCCCAGACCTTTAGATTCTGTGCTGTGATGGTGTACTACTGAGCTACATGAAGAGAAACGAATCTTGCGAGTTAAGCCGTTACTTAAATGTTTCTACGTGACAGGCGCCCTACGTACTGCTAAGATCAGCAATGTTTGGGGAGATAATTTGAGGAGATGACTATGAGTTGTCTTTCGTGAAACATTGATTTTTTTTCTCGTTGCACTCTTGTAAAATAAACGCACAGACACCCCTTTATGGTGGTCATTTTAACTTAGTTGATAATAGCAAATTACCCTGTTACACTCTCCCACCGACGCAGCACCACAGCTTTTTTAGAAACTTACCCCCGTTCAGCTACTTGCGTCGATGTTGTC